AAGGTGGAGTAAGACTTGGAATTTTAGTTAACTGGGTTAAGTCTTATGCAAATAAGATTTCAACACAAATAAGGAACGACAAATTAGCATCTGTTGGTCCTCATACTTTTGGTGCACTAAAAGCTGCCACCTGATTTTGAGGTATCTAGTGAGTGATATCGGTTTCGAAGAAACAATACGATGTTTATCGCATTGCACCAAACACTGAAGTTACTGACGGAACTTTAATGAAACCTGTGAATTGATCCGTCTATGTAAGCGGAATTTGGCAGTAATCTGACATCTAAATCAAGATTAGTAGATTCCAATAAGATAAGATAAACTATGTCTAAATGTTGTGGAGTTATATGATAAGAATATAGATAATAAATTGTATCCGAAATGCTATCCAGTAAGTAGTACTGTTTCACTGTGTTATACATTGACTAAAATGAATCTACACACACCATTCATTATGCATCAAACACTGAGTTTATCTGTCACTCCTCACGCTTCGTATGATTTTCTTCACTCTGGTTAATATAATTTTGTTAAGATTTGTAGCAATTAGCACTGATTTCGTGTTTTATGAACTTCTTTCCTAGTTTGGTATGTTAAAAAATTTCTAATCTCCTTTTTTTTCTCTGAATGGCAAAGTTATACTTCTTTAGGTTCTTCGGAATAGATTAGACCTGGTACAAAATTAATAATAGCGGAATAATTTGCATCTTTGTTGTGCAGTCGGACATGTATAATGTTATTAACTGGGAATTATCGGAACTTGTTCTCTGAGTTACAGCAAGATTAAATATGTTTTTGAGAATCTTTTTTAAATCTTTGATTTGTCAATAGTTCTATTCTTCAAGATTCTCACTCAGTATCTGTTCAGTTCAGATATCTTCTTTCTTATTACCGTATTACTTAGCTCATGCTTTATTTTATGTTTTGAAAGGTGTATGTTAATAGTTAGCTTATCGCGCTTGTGAATTCTGATTCAATTAAGAATAACTATTTTCATTTGGCAATCTGAGATAGCCATAGTTTGGCAGGCTAGTATTTATATTGGGTGATGATTGAAGGTGAGATAAAAATCTGAAACACCGGGTCGCTGGTTAAAATTCGGCCGTAGTCCAGATTTCCATCTCACCTTCGATCATCACCCAGTATAAATAACAGTTTTGCTTGTATTTTATAGCCTTATTATACAAAATGGTCATTTATGCAAAGATAAATTTCTTTATCCTATTTAAAATGTTCCCGAGTGTCAACTGGATGTACCTGGACCCCAGATATCGAGCAGTCCAATCCAGTGTAGCAACGGGAAATCACAAGTGTCAGTAAACAGCTTACGATTATAATTCAGTCCACAGAATGTATCTCTGTCCCACTCTTCTGCTTCTGTACTATTCTCTTTCTTTATCTGACTCCGAACAAATCTCATACAACTTATTTCTTTGAAGTTAAAATTTGTCTGCCAATGCATACTTGCCTTAATTCAGGAAGTAGGATTTCGATTCAGTCGTATAGACATTCAATTCAAAATTAATGGATTGCCTTTTGATACATTCTTCTTACTTCCATTTGACACTCCATCAGGTGTAGGTTTTTTTTGCTCTAAAAGTGGGCCTCATGTAACTTATTGCATGAATCTAATTGAGCGTAATAACCGTTTCGATTGGGATTATATGTATCGTAACTTTACTGGTGGAATATGTTGTTAAAGTCATGAATTAGTCATGGAGTTTTATGTTCTTTCAATTGTCAGGTATTGGATTTATGGTCAGCTGGTCCAATCTGAAAGTTGCACCGAAGGTCTTACAGGTAAATGTAAGAGATTTATGCGTATTTCGTACCTAGTTGATACTCTTCTCTTATTGCGTAATAAAATATCTTCATTATTTGATGTGTGTGTGCGTGTTGGGGGGCTGTACTGGGTATATATTCCCAACAGATATAATACGCACGCTTAGCTGATAGCTAACTTAGTACAAAAGATCCACTGACTGCAACCCAGGACGAATAGAGAAGATCGAAGCTGGACGGGAGAGTTTATTGCTCTCGCTACAATAATCAATTAACCCAAAAC